CGCCTATACTTCCTGCCTGGCCACTGGCCAATCAGTGATTTATTTATTGACCAATCAGCAACACACTTGACATACAGACCATCCCACAGCATTCTAGTCTATTTCATCAAGAGGACTTAATCATTTCTAACAGGGTCAAATTGGAGTAAGTTTAAGTTTGAATGTAGTCATTTCATTCAGTCCTTTGTGTTCTCAGTAACATTGTCTCTATGTAGTTCTATCCTGGCATGGGACAACTACCTCATATAGCTATAAAAGATATACAGCTTACCTTCCCTCATGATGCAACTTCCTGTATTCTATTCATCTTATCAGAAGCTTAAGAAACATTATGATATTGTTCTAGTTTGACTCAGAAATTAAGGATTATGTATCATCTGAGGTGAATAAGTATCATCACAGAATAACATTAATTAGGAGGACTCTGGGTGAAAAACTAGAAGCCTTCTGAATTTGTTAGAACTGAAAATCTCTTGAATTTTTCACAGGTTAGAGAGGATTCCAATGAAACACCCTTGGGAACTCTTTGTGACTCTTTTATGACATTAGCTTAATGGTATCAGCCAGAGACACATGGAAATCTGATCTGAGGCTCCCAACCAGTTCAGAGTTCCCTGAGCCTTCTCTCACAGGGTAACCTGTGTCATAGAAGAGGTTTTAGCATTTTTCGTCCCCTCTGACTTTTTACTTTCCCCTAGGTTCTCTGTTGTTATTGTTCAGTGTTTTGAAAAGGAAGCACTGTAGGGTCAGGAAAAGGGCCCACAGAGTGTTTGTGCCAGTGGATATAAATGTGAAATTACTGTTTATAATTCACAGTGGCATACTTTGTGTCATTTATCTTCACTTGTGTGAGGAGTCAGATAAGTCACTCATGACTCTGCTAGTCCCCATCCATCCTTCATCACTACACTCATGAAGATAAATGCCACAGCTACCATGTGTCCTTTCAGAGTAAAGATTAAGATTAGTTAGCACAGAGGTTGGCCTGATGCTATTATTTAAAAATCAAGAACACTCTGTGTGTACCATCTCCTGTGCTCATAGTCCTTGGTCTGGCTCAGCATTATCTGCTATAGCAATGAGTGAGTAGTATCTGTTCATTGGCCTGTCTGTACATATCTCTTAATTTCTATTTTCTAAGTAAATGCAAAGCACAGAGCTATGAAGTATCAATGAATGGACTTATTAATGGGAGATAGTCTTGCTTAGAAAAGTGATCAGGGGCAAAATTAAAAAAGTCTTTGTCTGAACAAGTCACATGTGAAAGGATGAAGTCAAAATAAAAGTGAGACATTACATTTGAGATGTGATATTTGAGAAACAATATGGATGCCTTGGCTTTATGAAACAAAGAGGTGTGTCACCAGTGGGTTGTAATGCTACTGTGAGGCAAATGGGTTCTTTCTCAGCTTCACACTTGAGGACCAAACTACAAGGCAACTAAACAATATGACTCCTTTATCATTAAATTGCTGAATTGATTGATTCTAGAAAATAGAAGATTTTTCCACACTCGTCAACATATTGCCTCTTTATTACCTTGGTTGCTTCACCCAAGAAGTAGCAAAAATATGAAAAGGTTTTTCATAAATTTGAACTAAATATTGCTAATATGATGGTTTATCATTGGAATTTAAAGTTGAATAGCTATTAATTAAAAAATAAGGCCATAAATTTGAAAAAAAGTAAGGAGGTAGTACATGGGAAGGTTTGCAAGCAAGAAAGAGAAAGGAATCAAGGATGTAATTATATTGTATTCTTCAAAAATAATAATAAAAGTATTTGACCTGTAAATGTGCAAGTTTTTAAAGTACTCTGTCATAAATCTGTTGTAACTAATTTTTCAAAATCTGGATGCATTTTCAGCTATTGTTTTTTCCTTGCATATTATTTTTTTATTATTAAATAATTGATTTTATTCATTCTCTGCTTCAGCAACATTTATTGAACACATACTTACCTGGAAGTGAGTGGTTTGTGCAGCTCATGGGATGAAATGCATTTCCTGTCAGGACTGGGTATGTAGCTGAATGAGGAAGAGAGATTCAGGAGTAGATGGACAGTGGCTCTGTAAATGTAATTTTTATTTTTTATTCTAAACTGGAGACAATAGTGCTTTGTTTCAGAGAAACACAAAAGTATATGTTCATAAACCTCACAGAAAATTGGAATGAATCATGGCAACAATGCCTCCTTTACTCTTTATAACAGTTCAGGTTGAAATGTCTTATAAGGCTGAATAAGGGGCAGAGAATACATGGACACACTAATGGCTAGATGTACGTTAGCATGGGCATGGAAGAGTACTCTAAATATGTGAAAATTAGCAGATTCTCAAATTTAAACAAAAAGTGAGCTCGAGTGGTGGCACCAGTGCCATGGAGTTCTTGCATGATCACACAGTCATGTGAAGGAAATTTAGGTAGAGAGAGTATGCTTGGCATGTTGAAGGGCATGCAAGAAGACATGTAAAGTAAGAACAGTTGAGGTAGGACGTTGGGATCAGAGATGTAGAGGTAATACAGAATACATGTAGACTTCTGGACAGCTAGAATATCATTGATTTTATTTTGAACATTGAACAGAGGAAAATATAATGGAATGTTAATTTTGATAGGATTTTGTCTCTGTTTGGAGAAAAGACTGAAGAGAGGTGAAGACAGGAACAAGGAGTACAGATATTAGACCAGGCTATAGAGTAGCCCAAATACCCAAAGGAAAAAGAAAGGGATCTGCAGTTAGTTGTGTAGCTATGTATTATATTAACATCTAATAGATTTTAGACACAAAGCAGATTAAATATAAAAGTGACAAAGACTAAAGGTAAGAAGTATGACACCCAGAATTAAAGTAATAAGTGCGATGATGGCCTAAGTTACTAAGAAAATAAATGGTCCCAACTTAGTGCTTTGTACATAATACATTATATAAATAAATAGGTTGCATTACAACTATTAAATATTTTTAAGGAGAAAATCATGTAAGAATCCACAGTTTTACAGTGAAAACATTAATTGTGATACTTTCAAGTGATGGACCTACAAAAGAGGATATATATGATGATCTGAAAGCTAGTTAAAAATTGAGCATGGGTACATTGGGAAGGGAAGGCTGGGGGGGAGTGGTAGGAGGAATGAGAGGGGGATCTGTGGTTGATATGTAAATTGAATAAAAAAATTCCTTAGAAAATTCAATGTTTGTCTTACTGAGTCAGAGAAACTTCAGTAATATAATAATATCTAGTCTGTTAATTTCCCTCAAACTTTAACAATTTCATTTTCCTCTTTGGATGAATAAAATTTCATTTTGTGTAAAAAAATAAAAAAAGAAAGAAAAAGAAACTAAATAAATAAAAAATGTTAAAATTTAAAAATAATTTAGATTTTCAAGTAGTTGTAGATGGGATCTAAAGCTATTGCAGGGTTGCTTAGTTTGTGAATATAGACCAAGAATGAGTCCAGTTGTCTAGCACTGAGACACTCCAGGGATCAGTAGTCTAGGAGGGAAGACATTTGTAGGAGGCACAGAGCAGAGTGACCACTGTGGGAGAAGGAAAATGAAAAGAATGGTTTTCTAGGAGTCAAGTGTGTGGTGTTTTCCAAAAAGTACTGAGTGCTAGTTACTATGTCAAATGCTACTGAATTTCAAGGAAAATGAAAATTGAGAATTCATTACTTGTTTCACCAATAAATGCAGTCTCTCTTCTTTTATAATTTTATATTCCCTTCACAGCATTCTTGCTCTTTTCTGTGCTTTTTTTGAGGTATTTTTAGTACCATGATCATCAACTAGTAGCTAATGCTTCATATGTCCTATGGAAGGATAGCCAGTATTTCATACAAAATTGAGATTTGCTAGCAATTTTTATCAAGTTGAGTTTACATGTTTTTAAAATTAATAACACAAAATTCCCATCCTAACACTAAGATGTCTTCCACTTAAACTCAATTTGATTTGCTTAGTGATAATGTTGATCAGTAGTAGTATATTACTTTGTAAAAGGTGTTTAGTTTTTATCATCTGTTCCAAATGAAGTTATCATACACAATAAAATGCTGAGCTTTGAAATTTACTCCACCAGCTATCAGGTTATTTTACCTGTTAACACCTCCTTTTCTGAGTTAGCCAAAGTACTCTTCTTCATTTTCTCCTCATTGCTTGAAGATTTAAATACCAGCCCCCCACTCTAGTATTCTCTCCTATCCTATTATCAATAAAATTCTTCATGATGTCAATATCAATTCCAATATGTGATCTTGATTTCAAATTGTGTTATTTCCCTGTCTACAGTTGCCTGTGTTTCATCTCAGTACAGTTTGTCTGTTCCAAATAAATTTCCAAACTTGAGATAGATTACTGTAATTGTTAGGAATAGAGAATATTTATTTTATTTCAATGACACTCAAGAAACACAAATTCTGTCATGTAGTGTCTCATTCCACATACTGTGTGGCCCTCAATCTTAGATTCTAATTTCCATTCCATATGTATAAGAGTCCTTTAAAGAAAAATCCATGTATTTTTTCCCTTTGTTTTGGGTATAGGAGAAAAAAATGTACCCAAATGAAATCTGTAGCACATGCTTATGTCAAACTATTAACATGTCATTTGGCATTAATAATTGAATACTGTTTAACTGTTAACTTCCCATCTGTTTTTAGGCATTGCCTCTTTTGATCTGTGTGGTGGTTATGATTAAGACACTGGATCAGAAGGAAAATGTGACTTGCCTAAGTTCACAAATCTAATAAGAGGAAACCAAGTGTGGATTGCAGATCTGATTCCAAACGCATGTTTTTATTGTCATTAAAAAGTGCATTATTCCAAATGGCCAGTGGTTAAAATAGCTGCCTTGGCTTTCTGCCCAGAGCTGTGTTAAAATACAGTGGTGACTCAATAAATGTTGTCACCATTAGTATCTTTGTTGTTGGTCATGGCAGATCAGGAAATTTTCTGAATTGGTCTAATGGATATGTTTTGTTTTTGTTTTTGTTTTTTAGGTTGGCAAACACGTTGCCTATTTACTTCACAGAGACCCCAATGGAGAACAAGGTGGGTGATGATTCATGCTAAATGGTTCCCACAATATGCTGAACAATACAACGACAGCTAACATGAAGTGGCTCATTATATGCTGTCAAATCCGATAACAGCAGTGACAGACATTCCTCGCTAGAGCAATTTGTAGGAAGTCCAGCCACTACAAAAGAGAACTGAATTAAAAAAAAAAAAAAGCCACAATATAACAGAAAAGACCTGTTCAGTGATTCTTATTTGCTGATTCTGTGTAGGTTCCCCTTTGCCAGTTTGAACCTGGCTTCATGCTCCCTGATTCAGCTCCAGAGATAACTGGCCTTGACATTCAGTTCTCCTGTGAAGTCCTCTTCCTTCAGTACATTGTACAGAATAATTTGCATAGGTCTTAGGTTCACATCCACAATTGCTTATGTGAGTCCTCTCCTAGTGCAGCCCTGAAGCCCCTATCTTACCCCCTCCTCTGAGCAGCCATCACACACACACACACACACACACACACACACACACACACACACACACACACACAAACCCCTTTATTTTCTGCCTCAGCACAGCACCCACAGATGATAATCCTACTTACATAGGCATAAGACTGAGAGGCAGCAGGCAGGGCACTGCCTCTTTCGGTACATTTATGAATCCTTTTGTCTCACTAAATTGTAATCTCCTTGAAGGTGGACACGTAACCCACTGCCTATGCATCATGTTAGTCCTCTATAACCGTATGGTGACCAATTAGTGCCTTACTCTGGGAAAGACACATAATTAAAGAAGGGGATAACAAACAATATTCCTGTCTTCCCTGTCCCTTAGCACAGGGACTGATACAGTGTAGGTAAAAAATGACATGTTTGCTTAGTGAAAGAAGGAAGAAATGAATAAATCCATCAATCAGATGGTTCTCTGTGGCCAAATTAAAGAGCAGACAGAGAGATCCTGATGACTTCCAATCATTTTTTTTTTTACCTCAGGCCACCAGGCTTAATGCCCTAAAAATGTTTGTTTATTTTGGAAGGCAAAAGCTGATCTGAAGCTATTCTCTTTATTTTTATATTCAAATGCCTATAAAACAGAAAAGCACCAGAGACCTATTCATTGCTCACAAATGATCTATGGGGTAATAATGTGCTGGCTTTTCCAGCTGTGCTGCACTTTGGTACTATCTTGGGTTTAATTGAAAATATGCTGTGACCTTGGTTTTGTTCACTGGGCGTAGGGGGTATAATTGGCATGAAGACTCTGAAGAATTCTCTTTTCAATGAATGTCATTTGGTTAATTTGGGGTTCGCCTGAGGGAAATAATGTGTGAAGTCCTGTAAATACGAGGTGCCTTTTATTCACATAGCATTAACATGAAGTTAACAACTTTTTCTAAGTCGGCATTTTATTTTGCAAAACCTGTTTGTTGGATCCTAAATGCTATCAGTATGATAATAGTATTGTCTTTAGCAGTCTCATGTTTCATTATAATTAAATAAACAGCTTGTGGATTGCAGTCCAAAAACGTCTTTACTCCACTCCTAACTTAAGGGGTTTCCATAGAAACTGTGGGCAGCAAGTTTAACTGACATTTATTGGGCTTGAGGCTATATGGAGCATTGATATCTCTGTTTTTCTCTCTGGCATTATCTACGCACTTCTTCCTTGTTTTATAAAACTCTTTTAAAACTTTATTTGCCCCAAGTCTACTCCTCCCTCTCCTCTTGCCCTACCCCCATCCTCTCCCACATTCGCCATTTTCTCCTTCTCTGTCCTTCTCTATCTCTTATTAGCATTGAGGAAGTAATTTGGACTCGGTTAGATTTAACAAATGCAATAATACTAAAATGGACCCTGATACTTAAGTGTAATTGTGTTATTAGCTGGAAATGCTTTTCTTCAAAAATAAAAAGAATTGAGAGTGAAGTTTACCAATGTAATACATGCTGGCAGGAAGGAACCTTTGACTGCTGGTTGAAAGTTTGTGGTGCACGGATCAAGATCCACTTTCTTCTCCAGCTGTGACTATTTTGTGATTTATTCCAGCAAGATGGAAATTTCTTCTCACCTTCAACATTCAGAATGGAGCAGAACCACATTTTGTTTATATTATTACAAGAGAATAGAATAGTTGATCTGGAGGGGAAAAAAAGGAAAAACAAAACACAAAACAAAAAACCCTATCATGTACCATCATCTTTGTTGGATGTTTTTGTCTAACTTGTTTCATGTGAAGCTTCACTGAAGGACATTGAAGCTGGTGGCTCAAGTTTCAACCTCACCCAGACTGATTATAATACCTTGGATAAATGTGGAAATATGGTGTTTTGTTTCATAATAACAACATGAATGTAGACACATCTAAGCGATGATTTTTATGAAGATTAATGATGCATGTATGCCTTGTGATACTGGTCTGTCATCCCAACTACTCAGGAGGCTGAGGCAAGAATGTCCCAAGTTCAAGGCTTATCTGATAGAGTGAGTTCAAGGCCAGCCTGGAAAACTCATTGACACCTTGTCTCAAAACAAAAAGTATAAAAACAGGGAGTAATGGACTGGTAATCTAGTTAAATGGTAGCCCATAGGATCTGGATTAATATCAACTGAGAGTGGTGGGGTGGGGAAGAAAAGAAAAATGATGAACAATGAGTGCAGCAGTAAATTATAGTACTGTTTCTCCTTGGCTTACTAGACAATTTGCAAAAGGAGTGGTGTTTTATGCAAAGTTTATGTAGCAATTTGTAAGCTCCATACATAAACAGCATATACATATTACTGCAGTTCAAGGGAAAGATTTAGATAGGTATAGAATCATTTACTAACTGTACCACTGGGGATCAATGACAGATTTGGAGTATTTGATTCCTCTTCTGTGTGGAAGGATCATGAGTCTTATTTCTTGGAACTGTTTTCAGGAATAGGCAACTGTATGTATAAACTACTTATCTTCTACCACAGAGTGCACTATAGGCTTTAAATTCTGTCACTCTCACTCTCCCCACTTTCCTGATGCTTTTCTTTTTTAATAGGAATTTAAAGTAAAAAGAGAAAAAAGAACCATTACCAAATTCAAGTTAATATCTATAATCTCACAGTTCATAAACTATCCTAAATTAACATGAAGGCAATGGCAGAAAAGAAAAAAAAAACTATTGAGTAGGATACAAAATGGAGGTCCAGAGCTGATAACAATAAGATCCTAGTATCATGAGTGAGAAAGTTGACTTTATCCTATTCCACAGGACCCTTTTCAAATGTAAGAGTCTCAAATTCATTATTTCTAATTTTGGTCTTCTTTTCCAAGTGTTTAGGGTTAACTCTACATGATATGACTTAGAACTCATCATTCTAGTAAAGGAAAAGGAAGACACTTTGTGGGACAGTTGGCAAAGGAGAAAGGAGAGGGCAGGTCTGTTCATCTCTCTCACACCTGAGTACAGATCCTCTTTCATGATCCAAGAAATGTGCCAACAAAGCCACAGGATGGACAGTGTGTTGATTTTTTGTAGCAGTATGTGTAAGTGTCTCTTGTTGGATAAGAAGAGTAAGAAGAAGAGTAAGAAGGAAATGCATTTTTCTTCTTCCTTTTTTTTAAAGAGTCAAACCATTTAAGTATCATTCTGACGTGTTTCTGGATAACTAGGGAATTAAGAAGAACTGTTATGAAAAAAATGAGAAGTATGGCTAGGATCAAGTTTGATGAGACAAGACTCTTGGTAAGAGCTGTTGCTTGTAGACCATCCCGAAGACATTCATCTCTAGGAAAACACAAATATATAAGATTAACTAGGACAAACATTGCATTAAAACATCGTTTTATTGATTGTTGGTACTCCTTGTGCTGCTGTGTGTCGGTACTTGCCTCATTAAGATATTCATTCTGTATTATATTTGGAAGAATTGTCTTAAGCCACATTCTCCATTTTCTGGATGACAGTTTATTTAAGGTAGATACCAGAATGCCTAAAACCACCCAGCCAGCCTTGTAGACAGCACTGCCACTCAATGCACTGCAAACATATAAAGCAGCAATAGTGTCCTGGTAGCCCCTCTGTCACCAAACTCTCTTTAATCAGGATTCTTCACATGTGTAATGTGACCCATGATTCCACTGCCAGTCATATGAGAGAGGTTTAACTTCTTTCTTAATTCTTAGATAAAAATAGTCAAAAATAGAAACTACTAATTTGTTATCCAGGAGTTAACTATAACCACTTGGTTGTCTTCATTCTAGTTGATCTGTTAGAAAATAGTTTATGCTGTTTAAGAGTGAGCATCTCTGAAAATTGCTCTTTTTTACTCTAAACACACAAGTTGACATGCCAACATAGTTGGAGTAAACTTCAGAAAGGTGCATTGTAGATGAGAGCTACAGTCAATGGCTGTTGGGAGAGAAAGAAACAGCTGTCTCCAAGGACAAACCCTCTCATAGGTTATCCAGTCCCAAGTGGTCAAGTGATCAGCCCTAAACACTTAAGCATATAGATGATGCTAATTGCACAGGGTAGTGTGTGTGTGTGTGTGTGTGTGTGTGTGTGTGTGTGTGTATGTATGTGTGTGTGTGTTTGTGCACACGCGACAATAATGATCATAGAAGAAGACATAGGAGTTGATGGAAGAAATGGGAAAAACTGGAGGGGAGACACAGAGGGCTAGAAGGGATGTAAATACAACTTATTCATGTATAAAATTCTCAAAAAAATAAGAAAAACTTAAGAACTATGAAAGAAACACATGGAAAATAAAGAAATGATTGTGGAAATGTTTTCAGAGATCTTTATATAAATCATAAATGGTGGGTCAGATTGTATGCATAGACAGCTGTTTTCCAAACACTGACATTTGGATTTTGCATGTGTCTGCATGTCTATTCTATCTCCGATAGCATGGTAGTTGCATCTTTGAAAGTGTGAATATGGATTGGAATTCAGGATGGATAGCCACACCACCTTTACTTCCTTTTTGTGGAGATTTTTGCTTACTTTTCATTAAGCTTTATCTTTCTACTTTGCACTTGGCATAGAAATAAATCA